CGCCACCATCACCCCCCCACGATACATTTATTTTTATGTGTGTGTTTTGCCTGCATGTATGCATGTGCATCGTGTACGATGCCTGATACCCTCAGAGATCAGAAGAGGGTGTTGGATTCCCTGGAACTGAGTTATGAAATGGTTGTGAGCCACCATGTGGATGCTGGGGAACCCAACCCAAGACTTCTGCAAAAGCAGTTAGCGCTCTTAACCACTGAGCCATGCCCACTGTACCTGCACCTGAGGAGGAAGGGAGGAATCCACCAGCACTTGATTCTGACCACCTAGGGTGGGGCCCAGCTCTAGGTCACATGATTGAAACCCACCATCAGTATCCCATCCTACGTGGGCCCACTATCCTTGTCAGCAGTGTCTTCCTGTCCTCTCTTCCCCTTTTTTCCCCTTTCCTTTCTTTTTTCATTTTCTTGGGTAGCTTTCATGTACCCCAGTCTGGCCTTAAACTTATTTATCCAAGGATGACCTTGTACTTGTGACCTTCCTGCTTCCACCTTCCAAATGCTGGGATTGCAGGAATGGGAGGGAGGTCAGGCCTGGTTTATGAGGTTGGAACTCAGGCTTTGTGTGTACTAGACAAATGCGTACTACCAACTGGGCCATATCGTCAGCCTCAGAAATCTTTGTGTAACTGTATGTCCGTGGAGTGTGTGTGTGTGTGTGAGAGAGGGGGGGATCAGTCCTTGCTTTCCAGCTTACTCAAGACAGGGTATGCTTGTTATTTGCTGCTATGTTTGTGTCACTAGCTGGCCTGAGAGTGTCTATGCACTCTCCTGTATCTGACTCCTATAGGAGCACTGGGATTACAGATGCTCTTTACTATGTGCAGCTGGTATGTGGGATCTGGGAAATCAAACTGAGGTCCTCAGGCCATTGGGCCAACACATTTTACTCACTGAACCATCTCCCTGACCCAGGTCCATTATCTTCCCCAGACGAGAGTGGGTGTCATAAGAGGCATTCATATATGCAGAGTTGTTTAAACTTGGAGTGGAAGCTGGCATTGGTGGCGCTCACATTTAATCCCAGCATTTGGGAGGCAGAGGCAGGTGGATCTTTGAGTTCAAGTCCAGCCTGCTTTACAGAGAAAGTTCCAGGACAGCCGAGGCTACACAGAGAAACCCTGTCTCAGAAAAACCAAAACTAAAACAGAACAGAGCAAAACACCCTGAGCTTGAAGTGGAGTTGGCCGTGCTTGCTGCCCCCACAGGGCTGTTGGAGGTGGAATATAGGTGCTCGGTAGTCTCAGTCTGGGTGGAGGTTCCCAAGGGGAGATGAGGTGGGCAGGAAAGGAGCTGGGAGGGACAGAGGGCTGTGGGGGTGGGAATGCAGACGGCAGGGCAGGGCAGGGCAGACAAGCTGGAGGAAAGAGATGGATGAGATGGATGGTGGCATCTCTCTGTGGTGAGAGACAGAGAACAGGTGCTGCTGACTTAGCCAGGCCAGCTCTGTTCCCTCTTAGGAGGCATGGAATGTGGGTGAGAAAAGGGGGGGTCGGGGAACTCAGCTGCTTGCTCTGCCCCTGTACAGACCAGGAAGTGGCTCCGAGGCACAGATGCATCCTGGTGTGGGCTGGCACCCAGCACTGGTGGGTCTGACTTCACTGCATGGTAGGCACGGCACTAGGTAGGCACCTTCCATATATGCAGAACTGCATACAACAGCCACCCTGACAAGGAAGGCTGGGCTTTGCTCTTTCTCCTGATCAAACACGTCTACAGATGCTGAGACGTGACAGGCTTGCCCAAAGTCTCCTGGCCTAGAAGAGGAATGATGGGGGAGGCATTGAAATTCACCTTGGTTTTTTTTTTTTTTTTTTTGGTTCAAGAATGTCTGTTGAAGTATTGGGCATGGGTTTATTACACAATTTTTTTTGAGACAGGGTTTCTCTGTATTCTGGAACTGGCTGTTCTGGAACTCACTCTGTAGACCAGACTGGCCTCGAACTCAGAGATCCCCCTGCCTCTGCCTCCTGAGTGCTGGGATTAAAGTCGTGCGCCACCAACGCCCGGTCACAATTTTCTCTTACTCTTTCTTCTTCCCCTTCCCTGCCTTCTGCCTTCCTTCTGTAAGGTGTCCTTGCTCATTATAGAAAATGTGGGAAACGGCCGGGCGTTGGTGGCGCACGCCTTTAATCCCAGCACTCGGGAGGCAGAGGCAGGCAGATCTCTGTGAGTTTGAGACCAGCCTGGACTACCAAGCGAGTTCCAGGACAGCCTCCAAAGCCACAGAGAAACCCTGTCTCAGAAAAAAAAAAAAAAAAAGAAAATGTGGGAAACGAAAAAGTAGATTTGAGAACAAACACCTGGCCTTCCTCCTGTTGCCGTACTGTGACAATGTTACCTGGAACTGCCCGACAAAGGACCACAGCTTCCACCTGGGTGGCTTTAAAAAATGATGTTTGCTATTCTGCAGTTCTGGAGGCCTAAAATCCAAGTGCTGGTAGGGACAGTTGATACGGATCTACATGGGAGAGGGAGGGTGGCCTGCCAACACAGACTCCATTCTGAATCCCAAGTGCCATTTTACGACTTGCAGGTCCATATCGGATGGCCTGAAGAGCATCTTTGATTGCCATGAAAGAATACGAGGAGATTGTTCTAGACATTTTTTTTGAGATAGGGTGTCTCTTTAGCTTTGGAGCCTGTCCTGGAACTCACTCTGTATACCTCAAACTCACTCTGTATATCTTAAGCTCACAGAGATCCACCTGTCTTTGTCTCCTGAGTGCTGGGATCAAAGGCAGGTGCTACAACATCCTGGCTGACATTTCTTCCCCCTCAATATGTTTTTATTTAAATTAGAAACATGAATGCTTCACATGTCAATTCCAGCTCCCTCTCCCAGCCCTCTCCTCCATCGTCCCTCCACCAGTCCCCCAACCCCCCTGCTGACATTTTATAAAAAAAATGTGTGTGTACCATGTGTGTTTGGGTACCCTTAAAGAGGGTGTGGGGTCTCATGGAGTTGGACTCACAGGTAGTTGTGAGCTACCTAATGAGGATGTTAGGAATAGAACTCAGGTCCTCTAGAAGAGCAGGAATCACTCTTAATTGATGAGCTATCCCTCCATCCTCTGAACTTTAGTGGAGGGTGACCTTGAATTCTCGATCCTCCTGCCTCTGCCTCCCAAGTACTAGGACTTGACTGCTATTGTTGGAGGTCGAGTCAGGCTAAGGCGTTCAGGGTGGCTTTGAACTCTTGTTCCTCCTGCCTCCACCTGTGTGGTGCTCAGATTAAAAGGTGTGCACCACTATGGTTAGTGCCTCAGGGAATATATACATATATATGTTTTTGGAGACAGTGTTTCTCTGTAGGTTTGGAGGCTGTCCTTGAACTCTCTTTGAAGACCAGGCTGGCCTCGAACTCACAGAGACTCTGCCTCTGCCACCCAAGTGCTGGGATTAAAGGTGTGCACAACCACCACCACCACCACCACCACCACCACCACCACCACCACCACCACCACCACCACCACCACCACCCAGCAGAATTTGTGTCTTTATCTTTTATCAAGTAAAGACTGGGCCTTATTGGGTCTTCAAGTTTTACTTGGTCCAATTTGGCACATATGGTAACACTGTACTAGAGACCCTCCCCGTGGGTTTTCCACTTAGTAGAAGTTAGAATTTCCATCAGGATCTGTGCCCTGAAGTAGTCAGAGGCATGAGCAGTTGAGATGCACCCCTGTAAAATTCTCTGTAATCCCAGCTCCTGGGAGATGGAGGTAGGAGGATCAGGAGTTCAAGGTCATTCTTGGCAACATAGTGAGTTCTGGCCAGCTTAGGCAACGGGAGACAGTTAATTTTTGTTGTTTTTCCGAGGGCGGTGAGACTGCCCAGCAGGTAAAAGTGCTTGCTCTCTAGTCTGATGACCTGAGTTCCATCTCCATGTACCAGACAGGAGGAATGGACTTTCTCCAGTGGAGTGTCCTCCGACCTTCACGCTTACACTGTGGGATGCATATAAACATATAGATCAATGGGGGGGTGGAGAACCAATTGAGGATTGTGTGTAGGTGGAATGACACTAGCACATCAAGTGCTGGTCACACCTTCTTAAGGAAACCCCATTCATAGGCAGTGCCGTGTCCCTCCACCTTTGGGTGGGTTAGGGCAAGCAGCCTACAGCACGTGAGAGTGGAGTGTTGTACCTGCCTGTACAATTACGTGTGAGTCTGTGTGCACAGGCCAAAGAACAAAACATCTAAGCAAGCGAGGGCGGGATAACTGCCTCCTAATCAGTGACGCATTCATTCCACACATTTGGCAGGAATGTGCTTCATTCCTGGGTAGATCCAGGAATGGCTCCAACAGTTAACACTTTGGTGTCTCCAAAATCTTAACAATTGGTTAGTGGGTGCTGGAGATGGAGCAAGGAAGGCTCTTGTGGGCTGAGCCAGCCTCACTTTCCAATCGTCTGTGTGTGTGTGTGTGTGTGTGTGTGTGTGTGTGTGTCCCCATCCATGTGTGTATTCAAGTGACCTGACCTTTGTATGCTTGTATGGAGGCCAAGAGATTAACTCTTTCCAAAGTATTTATTTATTTATTTGAGACAGAGTCTCTCACTGAATCTGGAGCTTGCTCTTTCAATTAAACTGGCTGGCTTTAAAGTTACCTGGAATCTTTCTAACTCTCCTGTCCCAGTGCTGAGATCACACACTCATGCTACTCCATCTGGCTTTTTTTTTTTTTTTTTTTTTTGGTTTTTCCGAGACAGGGTTTCTCTGTATTACTTTGGAGCCTGTGCTAGAACTCGATCTGTAGACCAGGCTGGCCTCGAACTCACAGAGATCCGCCTGCCTCTGCCTCCCGAGTGCTGGGATTAAAGGCGTGTGCCACCAACGCCCAGCTTCCATCTGGCTTTTAGATGGTTTCTGCACCCTAAGTACTTTAGCACCGAGCCATCCCTCTTGCTGCCAATTCCAATTAAAAAAATGAAAAGTTGAGTGGAGTTTGGTAGTGCATACCTTTTAATCCAAGAATTTAGGAAGCACATCTCTGTGAGTTTGAAGCCAGCCTGGCCTGCATAGTGAGAACCTGTGTCAAACAAAATAAAAGTGGGAGGAGTTTTATAGTCTGTAGTGATCCTGGGACATATTCAGTATTCATAGGCCATCCTGAGAGCAAGGTAGGCTTAAACTCACTAGTCCTGGTTTTCCTGGACTTATCTGTTTTACAGTTGAGAAAATTGCGCCCCAAAGAAGGGAAGGCACTTGCAGGGTGGAGTGGCTGTTTGCTGCCAAGCTACCCTCCCTCCCCATGTGTCTTTGCTTCTTGCATGCCTGAAATGCTCCAGCCAAGAGGAACCTCTTTCTCTCTTTAGGGCTCACTGCTTTCTGGGAGGCTCTTTGTCATATTTTAGCCATCTTGGGCAGTAAAATATCACCTTTGCTCTTTGTCATATTCTACCCTTTTGAGGGAAGTAAAACGTTACTGTGCTTACTATTGTTGTCTCTCCCTTGTCTTTGCTAGGTTCACCAAACATTTGAGAGCTGTCGCATCCTATTCATTTGTTGGGACAATGTCTCACTATGTATCTCTGGCTGTCCTGGAACTCGCTATGTAGACCAGGCTGGGCTTGAACACACAGGCATCTGCCTGCCTCTGCCTCCTGAGAGCTGGGATTAAAGGCATATGCTACCATGCTTGGCTATCTGTACTTATTCTTAACTTTGGAGTTACTGGAGCTATTTTACCAGCAAAAGGGCTTCCTCTGGGTGTTTATTGAAAATATTTTGGTCACTGTGAAAATATGAGGGTTTTCTCTGGGGAGGGTTAAGACAAGGTCTCATATAGCCTAGGCTGGCCTTGAACTCGCTATGTAGTTTAGGATTACTTTGAACTCCTGCCTCTACCTCCTAAATGCTGAAACTACAAGCAGGTACCACTACTTGTTTTTATTTTGTTTGACTTTATTGCATTTTATTTATTGTGTGTGTAGCCATGCATATACTACAGTATACTTGTAAAAGTCAGAGGACAAGTTGTGGGGAGTCTGTTTTCTCCTTCCATGTGGGACCTGGGAATCAAAACTTAGGTTGTTGGTGGCGCACGCCTTTAATCCCAGCACTCGGGAGGCAGAGGCAGGCGGATCTCTGTGAGTTCGAGGCCAGCCTGGTCTACAGAGTGAGTTCAGGGACAGCCTCCAAAGCCACAGAGAAACCCTGTCTCGAAAAACCAAAAAAAAACAAAAAACAAAAAAAAACAAAACTTAGGTTGTTAGGCTCGGCAGCGAGTGCCTTTACCTCTGAGCTATCTTGTGAGCCCCTTGAAAATATGTTTTAACCTGGACTTTTTAATCTAAGCCATGTTGCATAAAATGGCTAATAAAGGACTAACTTGATTATCTTCTGACCCCAGTAGCTCTGTGACAGTGAGTTCCTTGTGTGTGGTCACTCTGCTCAGGCACAAGGCAATCCCAGCTGCGGACTAAGAGCCACTCTCCAAGTGTCTGCTCACAAACTCTGAGAGGCTGGCACTGTCTGCCATCCTGGCCATAGACCAGGACACAGAGGTGCTGAGAGCACCAGGGGCACAGGGAAAATCCTTTGTTTGGAGAGGGGCAAAGGCAGACCTGTTGGGTGTGAGTAAGAGAGGCTGGGGTGAAGCTGTGAGATGTCCGTGCAGGCGACAGGAGGCATCTGGCTGGTGGGTGGTGCCAGACTTGATGCTTCTTTGTGGCTTCCAGTGTCCAGGTGAGGCTAGAGTCACCAGGGCTGGGTGTGAAGCAAGACTATTCGAGCATGGCATGGGGACAGGTATGCTGATTGAATGGCGGTGGAGTGATTGCTCCCCTTAGAGACCCTGGGAGAAACTCTGGACTTCCAGAGACAGGAGTCTGCACCATCAGCTGACCTTGCCCAGACTAGCCTCAAACCCAAGATCCTCCTGCCCCAGCATGGGTGTTAGGGCGACAAGTGTGTGTGTACTTACTTCCATACAGCTGAGCCTCGCTGACGCTTTTCTTTTGTGTGTGTACATGTGGTCTGCACTTGTGTATACATGTGTATTCACATGTGTATGTGCACGCCTGTGGAAACCAGAGGTTGTCATCGGGTTATCGTCCTTGCTGGATTCGTGCCCCATTCACTGAGGCAAGGTCACCTGTTAAACCTGGAGCTTCCTGATGCAGCTAGTCCAGTCCTGACTCTTCAGGCAAGCTATGCCAGCTAGACTTCTGTGTGGACGCCTGGGGTCTGTGGAAAGTGCTTTAACCACTGGACATCTCCTCAGCCCGATTTATTTATTTATTATTATTTTTGTTTGTTTTGAGATAGGTTTTCTCTGTGTAGCTCTGACTGTCCTGGAATCCATAAACTAGGCTGTCCTCGAACTCAGAGATCCACCTACCTCTGCCTCTGCCATTAAAGGTGTAAGCAACCACTGCCCAGCTTATTTTCATTTTTTAAGAAATGGTCTCATATAGCCCAAGTTGGCCTTGGGCTTCCTAAGTAGCTAGGATGACCCTGAACTCCTGACCCCTCCTGTTCTATACCAAGCGCTAAGCTACCACACCTGCCTTTTCTGTTTAGTTTAATTTGCAGGGAGGATGAGACAGGGTCTCATTATGTATCCCAGGCTGATCTTGAATGTTCAATGAGTCTCCAGTCTCTGTCTCCCCAAGTGCTGGGATTAAAGGCATATATCACCATATGTAGCTTCATTTATTCATTTGTGTCAGTGTCTTTCGGTGTATCCCTGGCTTGCCTGGGGCCATTTCCTCTTTTTCTTTCTTCCAACTAATTCTGTCGCCTAGGCTGGCCTGGGACTCTCAGCCATTCTTCTGTGTCAGCCTCTTGAGTGGATTAGAAGCCACTATCCATGGCCATTTACTCTTTACTCCACATAGTATCCAGAAACTTACCTGCTGTCGATTTCTCAGATCCTCACTCGGGGATCTCTAGCAGTGTGAGGCAGTGGTTAGGAAGTTATTAGCCATTTTGATGCACTATCATTTCCCTCTGTTCCTGGAGCTAACGCCTTATCGGGCAGGACAACTGTGAACCAAAATGTCTGTGCATTGTCTGGTGCCCTGAAGGCCTGTCCTCTGGAGGGAAGTTTCTTCACTCCACTTCCTCTTCTTCTTTTTGTTTATAAGACAGTGCTTACTATGTAGCCTTGGCTAGCCCGGAACACACTGTGTAGACCACGGTGACCACGAATGCAAAGGCACCCGCTTGCCTATGCCTCCTCTGTGCTGGGATTAAATGCGTGCCCTACCACTCCTGGTTTGGAGGAAACTTTTTAAATAAAAAGAATTGTGTGTGTATGTTTGCTTCTATGTATGTCCTCGCCACGTGCGTGCCTGGTGCCCACAAAGGCCAGAAGAGGGCGTCAGATTCCCTGGACTGAAGTCACTGACCGTGATGAGCCGACTCATGGGTGCTTGGAATGGAATCCGGGTCTTTTTGTCCAGATCCGAGGAAACTTTCTCAAAGTCCACCTCATCTGAATTCGCAGTCAGGCACCGCAACGCTCCAGGGTGCTAGGAAAACCACAGAACTCTGGCCCGTCTAAGGAAGTCCTATAGACCCCAGCCTCAGGGCGGCACCCGGGGAGTGACCCACGCTGGCCTCTCAGAGGCTTAAGTAGGCGCTCCTCGTTTGACTGACAGGGGAGGCCGCTAATACTCACCCAGACTAGTCCGTTTGAGCGTGCTTGGGGGCGTGCTGCCTCTGCTTCGGTCTGCCCAATCCGGGGCGCCGAGGGGGTTGAAGGGCGGGGTCTTGATGCCGGCAGCCAATGGGGCGAGCACAGCGGGCGCGGCGGGGGCGGCGCGGTCTGGGCAGGCGGCAGAAGCGGCCGCGGCGGGTCTGGGCAGGGCCGGGCAGCTTGCGCGGCTGGAGCGGAACGGGAAGGGGTCGGAGTCGCAGCCGGGCCGAGGCGGCGTGCGTAGCGGGACCCGAGGCGAGCTGCGATCGAGGTGAGGGGTGCGCCGCGACGGTTGGGACGCGGGTCGGTGGCCGCGCCTACCCCTGTCAGGCCGCGCCGGGGCGGAGCGCACGGGGCCGCGCCGCTCGAAACTTCTAGTCCGCGCGCGAGGAGCCACGCACCGGCGGGAGGAGCCGGGGAGGCCCGAGGGGTGGCCGGAGCGGGCCGGACCCACGCGGACTTACTCCTGGGGTGCTTTGCGGACTCCCGTTTCCGTCCTTCCCACGCTTGGTGTCCTCGGTGGTGAGAGCCAAGCCTGCCTGGTGAACATGACCTAGGGGTGTGTGGCGAGACAGGAAAGGCTGGATGCTGTCCTTTTGACTTTCATAGTTTTCTAGACACGTTGGATCCGAAGTGTCAACTGCCTCTCTCCTCCCGTGGCGCTCAAAAGCCGCGTTCTTCTCTCCCTAAAAACTCTAGGCTTGCGGGGCCCCTCTCTGAGAAGGTCGGCTTTTCTTTTTTCAAGACTGGATCAGAGGGGTCTGGCTGGAGACCTTACGGCCTTAGAGATTAGACCTGGAAGTAGACACGCCCCAGGGATGCTGCGTTCTTTTGGGTCCTCAAGGGAAGATGACTTTGGTCCGGGGTTTGCACTCCATTCCTGGCTCTTGCCGTCTTTCTCCTTGACCGCAGATGTCCTGAGGTTTTGTGATTAAGGGGAGTAGATTGCTGACGGTCTCCAGGGCTACTCATTACGCTGTTTAACAAACACTCCTTCGCTGTTCTGATGTAAATCTATTTAATCCTGAGTGGTAGGTGTGAGCTCACACCTTCCTCCCCCACTGTAGGTTTTTTAGTTTGCTTAAGTTCTGTTCTTGTGCCCCGGGGCTTGACAGCTTGGAGCACCTCGCCAAGGGCTCATCCAGATGGGCAGTGTTCTCTGTTAGGGCTTTCGGAACCACCTTTTCAAAGCAGAAGCACTGAATGAGTGCCAGTGTAGCTGGGATTCTTTTGACTTACTTGGAACACTTTTGGTCTGTGCATTTACACTTAACTGCAGAGTTTGGCAGTCTCCTGGTGAAGCTGTGTTCCCTAAGCCATGAGGCCATTACATGAAAAACTTCTGCGACGTGTGTTTCTTTCCCTGTGGTCTGGAGAATTTAAAGAAACTGACCATTAGGCTGATGGATACTTATTACTTGGGAAAGTAACAGCACAAAGGACTAGAAGACTGATTAGATCTCTTCTCTCTGTGCAGGATTTTTTTTCCCCCTTGAAGACTGGGTTTCTCAGTAGCCCTGGCTGTCTTGGAACTCAATCTGTAGACCAGGCTGGCCTCAAACTCACAGAGATCCCTGCCTGCCTCTGCCTCTGGAGTGCTGGGGCTAAAGGCTTGCGCCACCACCACCCCGCAGCAATTGTGCAGGACTTTTAAAGAATAACTATTGATTGGAATAGAAATGGTATTTTAGTTCATGCTGTTTTGGGAGCTAGAACTTGTTACTTCTGAACACAAGAATTAATTAATGCAAAAGTGTGTGTATGCAAGATACAACATCTAGGTTTCCATGCTACCTGCTAGAGGTTTTCCCTTGGTCCAGAGTGCCAGCAAGGATTTCTGATGGCCAGGCATTTCTGGGGTGGGGATGGATAGGGACATTTGCCCTCAGTTTTGTGGGTTGTTTGTTTGTGTGTTTTCTTCTTTAGACACAGGATCTCACTATGTGAACCAGGCAGGCTTGGAATTTACAGAGATTAAAGGCATGTAGCACCATAACTGGCCACCCTTAATCTTTGTATTCCTTTCTCTTACCTGAAAGTCCATGTTGATGAGTTAAAACCTTAGGCTTCCTGCTTCTCAAAGGGGTCATCACTTGACCCTTGCCGGATGTTACGGAGTATGAAATAATAGCAGTACATTACTAGCTGTCTTGGCACCTTGTGAAGCATACCCAAGTGCTCTCTGGCCAAGCTCACCTGAAACCCAGGTGACTGAGTCTGGCCTGCCTTATCTACATCCCATTGTACTTGGCTTCCTGGAGGCCACCCTAAGTAATCACCATGTTCACCAGAGCTGCAGTGCCGGCTCAGTTTTTTTCCAGTTGTTTGGAACCACAGCTGCATACCTGAAGGCAGCAGAGGGAGGCAGGGCTTCATTACCTAAGCTTATTTGCATGCTCGGGTCAGAGTCCTTTGTGGCCTCTGCATATTCTCCTCACACCTGGAAGTAGGCCTGAGAGCAAGGTCTAAGTGGGCCTTAACTTGTTCCTCCTGAGGGCTCTCAGTGATGATCTCTGGGATGGGGATGACTGAGAGGTTTTTTTTTTTCTTCCCGATTTTAATATCCAGGTGGTTATGCTGACTAAAGACCATCTTAAAAGAATAGGTCTCCAAGGGCTGGGGGATCGTTCAGTCAGTAAAGCACACAATGTTCAAACTTGAGGATACCTGAGTTTGAACCCCCAAGCAAAAAAAAAAATGAGGCGGGGGCAGGGAGATGGCTCAGTGGCTAAGAGCATTTACTCTTACAGAGGACCTGGGTTTAATTCTTAGCACCCACATGGTACCATAACCATCTGTAACTCCAGTCCCAGGGACTCCTACATCCTCTTCTGACCTCTGAGGGCACCAGGAATGTACACGGTGCACATACATACATGCAGGCAAACATCCATATACAAAATTGAGAAATCCTGCTGAGCAGTAGTGGCACATGCCTTTAATCCCAGCACTTGGGAGGCAGAGGCAGGCACAGATAGTGAGTTCGAGGCCAGCCTGGTCTACAAAGTGAATTCCAGGAGAGCCAGGACTGTTACAAAGAGAAACCCTGTCTCAAAAAGCAAAAAAAGAGAAAGAAAGAAAGAAAGAAAGAAAGAAAAAAAAAGTGGTGCCTGATATCAATCTCTGACCTGCACTTACACACACACACACACACACACACACACACACACACACACACACACACATGGGCACTTGCCTTTGGGAGGCTAAAAGTAGGGAAATCTCTAGTCTGAGGCCTCCTTAACTGTGTAGTGAGACCCTATCTCAACAAAGGATAGTTCTCCAAATATTCTGCACAAGGAGACTTTTTTTAGCATCTGTGTGGTTAGTAATTCCTTGAGACAACTGGTTTGCATTTTTTGGGGGGGGTGATTTTGAGGCAGGGTTTCTCTGTGATTTGGAGGCTGTCCTGGAACTCGCTCTTGTAGAGCAGGCTGGTCTGGAACTCACAGAGATCTGCCTGCCTCTGCCTCCTGAGTGCTGGGATTAAAGGCGTGCGCTACCATGGCCCAGCTGGTTTGCATTTTTAAAAGGATATTTCGTTTGTGGTGTGTGTGTGTGTGTGTGTGTGTGTGCACGTGCACATGAGTGTATGCACATGCCATGGCATGCATGTGGAGGTCAGAGGACAGCTTGCAGGGGTTTTTTTCTCTCATCTTGTAGATAACAGGGATGGAACTCAGATTGTCAGGCTTGGCAGCAAGTGTCTTTACCTGCTGAGCTGGTCCTCTCTGTCCAGATTTTTAATTTTCATTTAAAAAGAAAAATTTCCATTAAAAAAAAAAAAGATAATACCTCAGGAGGCAGAAACAGGCAGATCTCAGTGAGTTTGAAGCCAGCCAGGTCTACGCAGTGAGTTCCAGGACAGCCAAGACTGGGTTCTGGGGACTGGACTCTGATTGTAAGGGTTGATGGTTCCCTTCTCCCAACTCCCGTTTTTTTTTCTTTCCCTCCCCTCCCTCTCCCCTCCCCCTTGGTGTTGGGGGTGGAGCTCTGTGTGCTACAGCCTATGCAAGCAGTCTACTACTGAGCTATGCCTCTAGCTCTCTTAAAAATTTCAGCTTAGAAACATTCACTCATTTCTTGGGTCTAGACACTGAACTAGATAGAGAAGGAGATACAGCGGTGGGATACAGTGGTAGCAGCTATCAGAGTCCTCAGCAGCTGCCTTAGAAAGAAACCTTGCTGCAACATTGAGGCAGGATCTGAGTCGGGACTTACAGTGTGGCCGTCCTTAGCCTCAGATTTAAGACAGTCTTCCTGCCTCAGCTCTTCAAGTGCTGATGTTTCAGGCTTGAGCCTTTACATCTGCTTTGATGTAATTTTCTCCAGATGGCAGAGGGGGAGATGGGGACCAGAAGCCCTGCGCTCTTTCTAGCCTTCCCTCCAGTAACTCTGAGTCTAGGAGGATATGCAGATCTTAGGGTCTCGTTATTTATATTTGTAAGATGAGAGCAGTTGTGAGATATCCTCCCCCCCCAGGAAAAGAAGCACACATGTAAACAACTTGGGACACGCATCCAGGGTAAGGACTGCCACACTCCAGCCCTAAGCTGTCTCCCTCCTGACGTGGTCTTGGGGCGGTGAGCACATATCTTCCTAAGCTGCCTCTCGCCTCAGAATCTGTAATCCTATTTTCCCTGTCATCTTGGAGCTAATAATAACGGTGACGTACATACATGGAGGACACACATTTTGAAGGATTGTCCCCTTATTATTTTTTACTCAAACATTTGAATGACATGAGTTGTGGTAAAGAAAGTGGTGTCAGGTCTGGCCATTGCTTTGTAGAATTCATCCTGGGTCCAGAACTTGTGCTCCTGGATGCCAGCTTGGGGTTTTTCCTTGGTTGTTGTCATGATGAATCGTTGGCATCGTAAATCTCCTAGATTGTCACTTAGAGAAGTTTTGTTTGCCTTTGAAGGACTGTTTTTCCTTTGGAATTTGAATCCTAAATACCTTTCTGTCTTGACGATGAAGATTAGTTTTAAACCTTTATATTTTATTCTATGTGAATGAGTATTCTACCTATATGTGTGTTGGATCCCCTGGAACTGGAGTTACAGTCAGTTATGAGCTGCCATATGAGTGCTGAGAATTGAACCCAGGTCCTCTGGGAGAGCAACCAGTGCTCTTAACTGGTGAGCCATTTCTAGTCCCCTTGTTTTTGTTCTTTAGCCTTTTTCACAGGGGAAAATTTGTAGGATGTGAGTGTTTTGGGCAGGCTTATTTAATGTTTATTGATTAAAGAGTATATTTAAATGATTATTTCTCAATTGCTTAGCACTTGAGAAAGCTGTGAAGTAAATAAATGTTAAGTGGAAATTAGAAATTGAGTCAGACCTAGTGATGCAAGCTTTTAAGTTCCAGCACTTGGAGGCAGAAGCAGAGGCAGGTGGATCTCTGAGTTGGAGGTCAGCCTGGTTTACAGAGTGAATTTTAGGACAACCAAGGCAACACAATGAAACCCTGTCTTGAAACAAAGAAAATCTAAAATCTTGGAGTTGACCTATCCAAACATGTTCTCATTGATGATATACTCCCTGAGTAGAA